TTTTTTTTTTTCAAATTAAAGTACATTACATTAGCTTTAATTTAAGATATATATAAAAGTGTCAGACCTTTCGGAACATTTTCAAAAGTTAAGTTGAAAAAGTTAATTTTTTGTGAAAAAGTTGTCATTTTAAATCCCCCCCTGTGGGCAGAAAAAAGGTCAAATTTACAAAAAAAAATATACCAAATGATAAGTAAAGACATCAAGCATCTATAAAAAAAAAATCATATTGATATGTTCATTTTTGAAAAAGTTACGGCAGTTTTTAGAAGAAAAAAATTGAAATAATTTCGAAAATTAGCGATTTTTAAATTTGTAATTTTTTTGGAGGTTTCCCCCTTTTACGGGGAACGAGGGAATTTTTTTCAATTTTTAAGGGTAATGTCTTCGACTAGATACGATTTGTGATCTTTTGACGTATCGTTGAAAGAAATCGGTTCGGTGAGAGCTGAGAAAAAGTGGTAACAGACACAAAAAAAAAAAACACATCATAGTAAAACCAATACCTTCTCAGCTTCGCATCGAAGCTAAAATGTTATGATAGTCTTAAGAAAATTTTTTTTTTAAATATCAAAATCTACCGATTTTGAAAATTGTTATATTTTGGGAGATTTCCACCATTTACAGCGAATAAGGGATATTTTTTCAATTTTTAAAGAAAATGTATTCAACAAATACGATTAGTGATATTTTGAGTATTGTCCATCAAAATCGGTCCAATGACAGCTGAGTATAAGTAGTAACAGACACACACAAAAAAAAACCAGCACAGTGGGGATGTAGCATAGTTGGGTCCAGTTTATATGATATAGATTAGATATGATTCTAAATAGCTAATCGCTTATCTAGAATGATACTTAGGTATTTTGTTTCGTCCTGAGGAGAGATTATGGTATTGTTAATTTTGACGGGTGGACATATTCCAAGACGAAGAGCGAAGGTGACATGATTTGACTTGGCTTCATTTATTTTTATCTTCCAATTTCTAAACCATGACTCTATAAAATTCACATGCTCTTGGAAGTAAGCGTCACGTTAGTAAGTGTAAATAAAATGTTAGTGTTTTAACAAAAGTTACGTAAAATAATGTTAAATTCCAATGGACGTCTGAGAATCGTCATAACACGTTTCGTTTGTCTGTTAAATCGTTACTTTAAAGTCTTTTCATTTTCAATCGTCAACACATCAAATATGAATCATTTATGCTGTGTTTGCGGTAAGAATTTTAGTTTTAAACACAAATTGTACAGCTGTACAGTTTGCGGAAAAAATTTTTCCAAAATAGATAATATGAGAAGACATCAACATCATACACATCTGAAAAGTTGGTATCATGTATTATAATCATAACATGTTATGATCTAATGTCATACAACTCTATGTTTTCTTTAAATATAAAAACAATATTTAATTAATAGGCGTGAACAAAGACTAAGTTGATTATAATCTGACATAAATTCACAATAAAGCGCAAGTCATTCGAATTTGGAGACAACGAAAGAAATAGCAACGGTTCAGAAAAACGCCCTGACGAAAGTCGTTTAAATTCATATAAACTATTTACAATTAGATCTATATTATATTTATCGGCTAATTTTGACATACGATAAGGGTCACGATAATACGATAATTAGACATCAACAAAATTATTCGAATTAGAAAAGAAGTATATTAAATCAGTGCATTATAGAATGTTTTGTTATGATTTACCGTTTCATTATTGAACCTAAACTGTTACGTGCCTGTGTTCTGTAGAGCCGCAAACCAAACGATAACACTTAATTTATAAATAAACTTTTAATTTTGAATTGGAATTAGAAGTTTCAAAAATGTTATTTGACAAGTATAATTTTATTTTTATGCTGTATAATGATATATGAACAACTAACACAAAATTCTTCCATTGACTAAATAAATACGAATAAATAATAATAAAACAAATATACATAAATAATAATTTTACATATATTCTTAATAAATGTAAATACTCTATACATATAAATTAAAAGGAATAATGGTATAAGGCTTATAGGAGTAAGTTATTTTTTTGTTTAATTACGATTTTTATGATGTTGCTCACACGATTGATTTTTTTTTTTATGTTAATATGTCTTACTAGTAGCAGATTCGGTCGGCGTAAAGTAATGCAAGAACCAACACCAGAACCAGAGCCAGAAGCAGAACTAGAGCCAGAACCAGAACGAGNGACGTCGTAAAATAAATCCAAAACCAGAGCCAGTGCCAGAACCAGAACCAGTACGACAACCAATAGCAAATCCTGACGTAGTTACTGAGTTTAATAGAATTATTAATTCTACAGGGTGGATTAATATAGATGGTATTAGATTTATAGATGAAGTGGGAGATTATGTACCAGTCCATTTATTCGTCCATGCATTTCCTTCTAACAATGCTGTCAATAAAATCAAATTTGAAACAAGATCAAAGTATGCTTCCTTGGTACTAATTCGAATTTACATAGATATGCTAAATCATTTACGTGGTTACTATAGAGATATGACATACAATT